AGCTCTTTAGTTAGACATTGATCTTTGTCGGAGTCTATATCCCATTGATTAGACTTGATTAGCCATTGACACAGTACAAAAGCTGCACAAATAAGTAAAGAACCTTAAGTGATTCTCAATCTTCGACTTACAGATTGTCGAAGTGAAGATGAAGCGACAACTGAGTGCTCCAGCCTCCATTCAACCTCAGAAGCCCTTGGAATTGCTGCGTAACGTGGTGTGGCTAGAAGGAATGGCATCAGACGCGGTAGACTTCATCACTTCAGCTGCTCGTATAAAGCTGTTTGAAGCCGGTGATACTATAACAAGGCAGGGCGAAGAAGTGACGGGAATATACTTAATTGTTTCTGGAATGGTGAAGGTACTAGCCACTCCCTGTATACTATGAACTAAATTTGGGTCATGTCACTTGAATATCCCTGTTTTCAGCGAATTCTGTCGCTATGAAGACTTTACCGAGACTGGAAACTGCACATGAAAAGTAAAGACTCTGGCACCCAGGTGTAGTAATATCTCTATCAGCTCATAAGAAATATCCTTATGCTCAACCAAGATACAACCAACCACTAAACAGAAACTGGTATAAATGGCGTTTGTTATTCATTCTTCATTACAGATGATAGGCGTTTCAGTACCAAAAAAGAGCTACATAGATGACGAGGAACCGGAAGTAGGAGAGATGATAGTAACTACGGATTACATTTCTGCCGGTAACCTGATTGGTGAGATGGGCCTGCTAACCTCATCTAGAAGAAACTCCTCCTGCACTTGCGAGTCTTCAGTTCAGGTATGACATCATTCTGTTATTCTTGTCTCCTGCTTAAGGCCATGTTCATGCTATACCGAATAGGTGTCGACACGAAAAGCTATCCCGTACAGCATGAACACCTATCCGATATGTTACTCTCCATTTTAGAGGAGATCGGCCCCGGGGGGGGGGGTACTTTAGGAATATCTGGGTAGGGATGTGCCGCTGGGACCCTGGAACCCTTAACCTATACCAGAGCTAGTTCAGCTGAATTTTGCTACCCTATACTAGAGTAAACTTCCCAAATCCCCCCTATCCTAGAGTAGCTGTTTCCCTAGTCTAGAAAAAATCTTCAATCAACTGATCAGTTTCCTGAAAAATGACACCCTATTCTAGACCCAAACGCTCTGATTTATACACCCTATGCTAGAGTAAACTGCTTGAAAGCCATACCCTTCACAGCGGCACATACCTATATAGCCCATATATGGCAGTACCCCCCCCCCCGGAGATCGGCATAGCGCAGCTTCGCTTCGTTTCAGAAATCACGCCGAAATCACTGTTCTTATACAGTGGAACCTCTCCTTTGGGACACCTTTGCTCAAGGGACACCTCCATTCTGGGACACAAAATATGGTCCCGGAAAAAAGTTCACTTACTCTGCGTATTTGTTACCTCTATTGAATGGACACCTCTATTCAGGGGAAAGGGACACTTTTTGTGGGTCCTGAAACCCAGGTTTAACATTCATTAAGGGGACACCTCAGCATATATTTAAAAAGTGACAGACCACAAAGTTTAAGTGTTTAAGTGTACACTAATCACAATGGCGACAGCAGTCCAAAACATGAAGTATCTCACGACGTAAATCGATGTACCTTACTTGTGGGAATTCAACACACAACATCGCAGACATAATTTAATCATGATTGTAGTACGGGGATAGTGCCCGGGGACCAAGTGAGTATTAAACGGTGATTTTGCGTAAGGCTTTGACTAAACCTAACTACCAGAAATCGGTAATTTTCCTATTTTCGTCAGAAGCATCAATAGGTTTTTTTCATTTAGGCCTTTTTCATCACAAAAGAAGACATGATAGAGGCTACGACTCGTTACCCTGATCTGGTGGACCGCTTGTGGAGAGTCTGCGGTGTTAGATTAGCTGTTCCTCTTCTTCTGGAGGTGCCCACCTATTACAACTGGTCGCGAGATAAAATCCGTGTGATGTGCGAGCGATCTTATATTGCGTCTATTCCCAAAGTTCCCAATCCGGTTTTCAAAATCAATGAACAGATGAAAGAGGTACGTTGAAACTGATAGGCAACTAATTGCACATTTCCTTAGCTAGTGGAAAGAATGAACATTACTAAGGTAAATGGGTGTATTATTGATTTGAGGCTAATATTATATTGTGATTGATAAAAGTTGTACTTTTTGTAGTAGTTTGCGGTTGGATTGTGATAGGCTTCATGAGGAAGAGGTTGAACCCTTCTCATGAGCCTCTGCTCATAGTACAAGGGTATAAATAATATTGGAAGAATGGTGAAAAAACAAAACAGCGCGTTTTTGTTAAGATTAATGTCACCGTATTCCACGTCTCTATGTTGGTCTTTTATTTTTTTTTATCTTTGTAGGTTATTCTTATTCAAGGAAAGGTTACGGAGATGGACACCAGAGAGATTTATGAAGGACCTTGCGTACTACCTAGGGCTCACAAAAGTTTTAGATTGCATTTTGACGTGGAAGAACCGAAGATTTTAGTTGTTTCGCGTTCCCATGAGAGTGCAATGCCTGATGACCCAGAAGACAATCCCTCAGTGCTGGATATTATAGGTAGGAAATTTGTAGTTATATAATGCCTTTGCACGGATATCTCTTTCTCCCCTGGCCTGGTCCTCTCCTGGGGGCGCTCTGAAAGCGGGGCGAAAAAGGAGAGGGGCTCCTCCCCCTCTTCCCTCCCTCACCCCCGTACCCGCGGGAGCCTCCGAGCCCCGGGAGAGCTTGCTCGAAGGCTAGTCTCTTTGGAAGATAATGAGTGATGAGTTTGACAGAGGATGACAACTGGCCGAGAGAAAATGAATTTCAAGGATAACCGTGAATTCTTTGAGAAAATCTTTTAACCGATACAGGTATAAAAAGGGTAGGAAAGGTAATCCCTGGTAGGTCCTTTTTGGTTTAAGTCAAAAGTTGAAAAAAACCGTTGAAGGGTCTGATTTTTATATTCAAAGCTCACTTGATAGCTTGATTAGAGGATTATCACGGTATTATTTCAATTTTCCTGTTCCGTTTTGATAAGGAATTCACTCAAGAGGACGTGACGTATTTGAAAGAAGAGAGCGTGCTTATTCGGATTCTGGTACAGAGGCAACTTTTAGAGGAAAACGAAGAGACACGACAACATCTAGCCGAGTGAGGATGAGCTTTGATGAAAGCTACAAAAAGCCTGCGCTCGACCCACTACC